AAGGAGGAGGAGGAGGAGGAGGAGGAGGAAAAGAAGGAGGAGGAGGAGGAGAACAAGAAGAAGAAGAAGAGGGCGGCGGCAACGGCGGCTTTTTTTTCCTTTTAATTCTAGTATAGTTAACATACAGTGTTACATTGGTTTCAGGTATACAATACAGTGATTCAACAATTCCATACATCACCTGGTGCTCGTCACAAGTGTACTCTTTAACCCCTATCACCTATTTCATCCATCCCTCTGTTTCTGGAAGAGCAAGTCCCAACTTGACTCCATTTCTAGTTCCTAAGCTTCCAGAGGACTTTACAATGTAAATCGAGTTGCTTCTTGGCTTTTACCTACTGCTGACTTAGCGGTCAGCTTTCTTAGGCTGCTAAGTTAGTTAGCACTTAACATCTGCTTCACAAGGACCAAGTGTTTGTTGCTGTTATCTTTTCTCTTGATTTCTTCTTCCTTGAGGGTTTACTTTTACCGGCCCTAACTGTCCTTGGAGTGAGGCCAGGAGAGAGCAGAGCCAACTGCTTGTATTACAGCTGCCATCTTTCAGTGAGAGTTCTACTCTGCTCTTCTACAAGTTGGAGAATCGCAGTTCTTAGGCGGTGAAGGGACCCCAAGAGACTGAGCAGTGAACTCCTCTCTGTGGGGAGCAAGGTGTGTTGTTTGATCTGCAGATGAGGTGGCTGAAGTACCAGGGATTTGAGTGTCTTGCCTAAAGCCATACACAGCCGTCCAGACAGACATCATACTGTTATCTAGTCTATGTATCATAATTATCCCTCAAAGGTTTTAAAGTTTTGTTGTTTTATTTTTCTTCTAATTTAAAGCTCTCTCAGCAACAGCTAGATCCTTGTCTGTAAGATCTTACACATGCCTCCTGCTCCAGTAGGCAGATGGGTTCTTCATAGTAGAATATTAAGTGTCAAACTACTTCTAAGATGTGGCTAAATGTTTTATTTTTTTGTGAAGTTGGCTGAAAAAATTTTTCAGACACAACGAGGGGAGCCTGGGTGGCTCAGTCGATTAAGCGTCTGACTTCGGCTCAGGTGATGATATCGCGGTTTGTGGGTTCGAGCCCCCTGTCAGGCTCTGTGCTGATGGCTTGGAGCCTGGAGCCTGCTTCGGATTCTGTGTCTCCCTCTCTCTCTCTGCCCCTCCCCCGCTTGTGCTCTGTCTCTGTCTCTGTCTCTCAAAATTGAATGTAAAAAAAAAATTTAAAAAAAATCTTTTCAGACACAACCAGATTTTTAAAGTGGTTGATATGTTTTAGATATGTCCTGAACAACGTATACAAAGGACCTTCGAGAGCAGCTATCAATATGCCATCATTTAAATGTAATTTGTATAACTTTTAAAAACAAAAGGTAAAATAATTCATTTTACTTCTCAAGAAATAAAACTGAAAAAAATCCATCTTGGTTTGTTTTATAAGTGTCTTCATCTATTTTTTGGTATAATGCTATTTGATACGTTCTAGAAAAAAAAAAAACCTAGGCTTTGACAAAAAAGCATTTGCAGGGGAAGAAAGGGCAGATTTGGGATTCCATTTATTTTAAACTGATGCTACTTTTTTTCTCCTAGTGGAATGCAGGCCATGGCCTTAAAATATTACTAAGTGATAATCATAAAATTAAAATAATTTGATGAAAGTATTAATTTTAGTTTGTAGTCCTGTGAAGAGCTTTTTAGAACTCAGCCCTAAACAAGTTTTAATAAACGCAGCACTCTACAGGAAAATGAAGGATAAAAGAAAAACTGTCCTTAAATACTTACAGATTCTTTTCTGCCCATAGTTTTGCTGTGTGAGCGGGAACGGGAGATGTTGCTAAAAAAGGAGTCCTTTTTAGTAGCAGATGAAGGTGGGGAGCCAGTGAATTCCCTTCCTCCAGGCAAACTTTCAGTGCTCGGGGATGAGCTGATGGTTTTAGAACTCTGTCCTGTAAGAAAAATTAAGAGGCGATAATGAATCACTAGACTTTTTCATTAAAGCTACTTTATCCACTGCCTTTAACAAAGGATCAATTATTGTACATCTTTGTTCGCACTGTCAACATAAGGACACCGAGGAGTTGTTAAAATGCACTCATTTTATGTAGCAAAAAAGCTGCCAATTTGTAAAAAAACAATGAAGTGCCTCCATACTTTTCCACATGTAATTTATGCTATAATTGTCTAAGTGTTGCACACATCAAAAAAAAAAAAACAGCAAAAAGATCTCATTTTGAGAAATGACAGGTTAGATAATTAGATTTTCCCTCATTAAAGGAATCACCCTTAGTGACAGACACCAGAAATGATTATATTACGTATTATATTAATATTAAAAAATATAAATCCTTCAGCAGTTTTTCAAAAGAGCCTCTTTCCTCTTCACTAATTGCAGAACAGATACGTGGCCAGCCCTCGCCTACGGTAGAAGCATCTGAAAAATGGGATAAGGTGCTGGCTCACAGGGCCTCTTTCTAGATCTTTCCTTACACTACAGTGGGGACACCTGTGATCCCCAGCAGCTATCACTCTGCTTGGCAAATGACCTTCTCAGAGATAACCCTAAGGTCAACTCCTCTTAGAATGTATCTCTGAATTATCAAATTCCAAGTTAGTGATAGTATGGATAAAGTACTAACTGGCCTATATCTCACAGAAAATCCCTGCACGATTTCCCCTTAATTACAGAAATTAGCTTACTAACATTTTCATCCCCTTTGGGAACATAAACATTTAGACCTTAAGAAAATGGAGTCACTAGAACATGTTCCCAAAGGATGGAGCACTTCATCTGGAGATCTGAAGGAAAAGCCTAGGCACCAGAAGTGGTCTTGCCTTGAGATAGAAGAAAGGACTATTACACTTCTCTGTCCTCCTCATGCCCTGCACACACAGAACATGACAACACTGGGCTGGCACACCGGGCAAATGGATGAGCCATTCCATCACCCAGGCCTCACCTGGACAGCTCCCGAGGCAAGTTGCCAGGATTTTCAACGGGCTTCTAGCCCGTTGGCTGCACAGTGGTTCTGAAGCCTTCTATAAACCTTTTCAAGTTTTTAACTGATAGGAACAACGTTAACAATTTCTTCTGCTGCATTGAAACTTAAAGCCTATTCTTGGAGGCACATTCTGAAGTGTACTGCTGTGGTGACCCGCCCAAGCCCCCTGTGGGACCAAGGCACTATTCCCCAGCCACGGGGAGTGCTGACTGATGAGGGTTCTTACGAGTTCTTCTCTGGAAGTGGCCATGAGTTCTTCTCTGGAAGTGGCCCTCAGCTGAAGACAGCTGCTCTAAGGTCATGTACCCTCCCCTGGGATTAGCTCCAATCTAGGGACTGGGTGGGGTGATAGAGGATAAAGGCTGGCCCTCTTGCCTCAAGGCAGACTATTCTGAAGGGCCAGCCCAGTCCCAGAGGGTCCCAGAGGTTCCAGCCACGACTGCAAAGCATTTCCACTCCTCCTCAGCTCACTGCTGCTCCTTTTGCTCCCCAGATACTGATCTTGACAGCACCCCCCTCCCTCCGGCCCCGCCTAAAGCTTCCTACCCATAAATCTTTGTCTCATAGTTTATTTCTCAGAAATTCTGACTCACGACAGTTACTTAGAATTGTTTTAGATTGTAGGCATTTTTAAATATGCCAAATAAAGACCAAATTCTTGGGCTACCTCAGGCATGCACATATTCTTCATTCATAACCAAACACCGCGGAACAAGCCCCATGCGGATGGATCGGATGGAATGTCTGCAGAAACTGTCCAGCACTAAGGATGAGGGATGACCACAACAGGAGCTATCAGAGAGCTCCAATAGCAGTACCAGGGAAATACACACCTCTATGTACACTAACTAACCTACAATCCTAGGTGAGAAAAGCAAACACAGAAGTGTAAACAACAGTACTCTGGAAGCACAAAAGAGAGAGCAACTGAGCCTGTCTCAGGCAATCAGAAGTGTGTGCTCCATCTTCACACCTGAAGAGAGGGTGGCGGCGGTGGTGGCGGCAGTGGCCTCAGTGGCTTGGGGTGGGTCGTTTTTAGCAGAGAACACGGTATTTGTGAAGGCAACTGGTAAATGCTACTGGGGACGTCTAGCTCAATCAGAGCTTGCCTGAATCCTCTGGAGCTTCCTGCCATCTATATGTAACTGAAAATGACACCAATACCAGTGTAAGATAAGACTAGTCCAACAGAGTGCTTCTTTTGCACTCGATGACGATTTCAATGGTCTTCTGGGAAAAGGAGAGAATCAAGGAAGTTCTTCCTAAAAGTTGCTGGTACCCTACATGTGAGCTTATTTTCCCTCTTGGCCATCCAGCCATAGTGGGGACGGAGGAGCGAGGGAAGGTGAGGATCTAAACAGGGCCAGGTAGATCAGAAAGAGCATTTTGTTCTCATGCTGAAGGGTCTGGCCCTTACCTTGTTGGTAGATGATGAGAGTTACTGCAGATTTTAAGGAAGAAAGTAGCATGAGGATTAGAGGAGCTTGGTTGAGCAAGGCATCTCCTGCGCCTGCCCACACATGAGATTACGAGGGCTGAACCTAAGGCTGTGGTGGTAGATTTGAGAGATGTTTACAAGGCAGAATTCCTCAAACCAGTACCTGCTGGGTCTGACACACCTAAGCTGGAGTCTAAGCCCAGCGGGTATCTAGCTGAATCAACAATTCACTGCCCCTCCATTAGCCATGATTCTCATCTATAAGTGAGACACCTACTTCATACATGCTTTGTAGCCCAAGTGGCTAATGGGTATAAAAGGCTCAGGGTGGCTTAGGATCCCAGGCGGTATGCTAAGTAGTCAGCAGACATAAAGCATTACTAGCATAGTGGTGACTTCCAAATCTAAAGCAGGTAGTTTCATATGCAGTTACTGTGGGCTGCAGATTTGCTAGTCCTCTCCCCTTAGGACTAGTCTCACTTGAGCGGCACCTCCCACAGACTTTGGCGAACTAGCTGAGCCGAGGACTGCCACATCCGCCACACCTGAGACTGCCTAGTGGGAGAGCGGGAATCCAGGCCCCGCTCTACTGTTCTGCTTGCTAAGATGGGTGCCCTGGTGTGAGCTGCATGTGCACAGAAGGGGTAGCTTTTTCTAAAGGGCACTAAGGTGTTATCTGGACTAGCTGTGGCTGTGTCCAGGCATATTAAATCTGTCCTTCATTCTCTTTTCCTCTCTGAAACATTCAATAAAAGTTTTGCATCCCATGTGCTACTTATCAGTGGAGGTTATTTGTCAAGAGCCCAGGCTGCCTGAATGAGCTTCAAAGGCATCACGAGGAGCCCTGACTACAGAATGGCTGGGAAGGAAGAAAGGGGAAAGGGGAGAAAGTATTTATTAAGCTCCTACTATGTCCCATGAATAATATTTTTGTGATTTTTCTCTCATTCAACTCAATGGAAAATAGGAACAGGGGCTGGGGTATATTCCTAAATGGACAGGCAAGAACCTGAGACCAGCTGGAGGAGCTAGACACAGGACCTCCAAAGGTAACATGTTCAGAAGGCTAGGAAATCTGGGGTGGGGGAGGTCACTGGTGGGGTGGCACAGCTCAGAAGAGCAAAAAGGGAAAAAGTGCTGTGGCCTTGACTTTGTTCAATGACCCAAGAGAAAACGAGAGGCATGTGTCCCCTCTCTGGTAATATTTTGTCACCTCACAGACTTGAGTGACAGACAGCAAGAGGGCTGATGTTTATGCATTAAAAACATACATCTTGGTGTCACGGGAGAGTGAATGGAAGGTTGTAAATGAAACCCCTGGAAACAGACCTGCTCTAGTCTGACCACAGAGTCTAAGTATTGTTGGATCCAGTGCCTACATGCAAACATGTGGTTATAGAATGTCAGAAATAATTATTAAAAAAAAATTTTTTTAATGTCTATTTAGTTTTGAGGGGGTTGCGGGGCAGAGAGAGAGGGAGACACAGAATCCAAAGCAGGTTCTAGGCTCTGAGCCTGATGGCGGACCTCAAACTCACAAACTGTGTGATTAGGACCTGAGCCGAAGTCAGATGTTTAACCAAATGAGCCACCCAGACACCCCAGAAATAATTATTAAAAAAGAAAAGATAGAGGAGTTGAGTTGGCTCTTTCAGAACTTGATTCTGAAAACCAGAGGTATTTGGAAAACACAACAAAACAAAACACATAACAGTGCTCCCCTCATCACTGCCACTTGAGCAGGCAGCACCCGTGAGTCCTTACGGAGCACAGGTATGGTGGTAACTTCCCACGACCAGCCCAGAAGCAGCTGTTCTTTTCCTTTCTTCTCAGATAACAGGTTAAGTGACCTCCCTAGATCATCCAGCAAGGCAGTGGTAGAGGCAGAATTCAAACCTGGACCCAACTCCAGAGCCCATGCTGGGAGAGTTGTACCAGTCTGCCTGCCCCTCCCCTGCCAATAAGGCTGTGCGGGGGGCGCTGTCGCACATGTGACCTAAGATTAAAGACAAATGGAATGAGGTTTTTTGAAAGTAAAGGGCAAATTCTGTCCTTGTTCTCAGTCCAAAAAGTCATTTATTCAATGTCTTTTGGGAATAAGTTTTCCACAAAAATGCATTTTCTAGCTAATTGATGCTTCCCCAGATTTGTTTTACGTATCGTGTTTCTCTGCCTTCCTTCTTAGAGTGATTATCCAGAACATAATGGAACTGCTTGTCCTGCTTCACGACTATCATTTCTCAACAACAAGCACAGTGGCCAACATAGGGTCATTCACGAGGATAGCTTTTGGCTTCTCAGTCTCTCCTCTCACTCCTGTGAGTAGGCGTTCTTTGTCCCATCGTTACTGTGTCCTATTCTAATTAATTCGGCCTCTCTTTTCTTTGTTCTACCAATTTGTTGCACTAGGGCATTTGTTTTAGTTCTTTGTTCTTGAAGGTCCAGAGGGGAGTCCTCTCCCGACATGTGAGCTGGTACTGCGCTAATGTGACTTGCACGTTACTCCTCAGTTTAAAATCTATTTTTTTCCTAGAAGGAATTATAAAAAAATTAACAGTGATTACCCTTAGGGAAATGGGTTGGCAGAAACCAGTGGGAGGAGTAAAGAGAGAGGTGTGTTGTTGTTTTTTTTTTTTTCCCATTTAATGACTTTAATTAATTGGGATGGTCAAATGTTGTATGTGTTTTACATTTACCTTAAGAATGTCAACAGTGGTTATCTGGGCAGGGAGATTTTTGACCTCCCCCCCCTCCTTTTTAAAAAAACCTGATCAATGTTATATAGTGATATCTATGTGTGGATGTACGTATGTATATATATTTGTATCTGCAACATAAATATGTACACACAAGTATAAACATTAAAAATGGTGCGGGGTGGCTCAGTTGGTTAAGCGTCCGACTTGGGCTCAGGTCATGATCTCATGGTTCGTAGGTGTGAGCCCTGCACTGGGCTCTGTGCTGATAGCTTAGAGCCTGGAACCCTGCTTTGGGTTCTGTGTCTCCTTCTCTCTCTGCCCCTTCTCTGCTCGCACTCTGTCTCTCTCTCACCCTTAAAAATAAACATTAAAATTTTTTTTAAATGGTTATGGCAATAACTTAAGAAATCTAAATTTTTCCTCTAATGATCCATTAAGTGACAATACTTGTATACTTTGGTTGGAAATTCTAAATTTTCTTTGGAAGTAAGCTCTGTAAGCATGTGTGTGTTTGTGTGTGTACTCCTATTTTAAAGCTCTGCGGTTCCTAAATATCTCTTGAAAAGTTTCTGGGGCAGCCGGGCAATTTCCAAATCTAATTTCCAAGAAATTCTTTAAGTCTTCAAAAACAAATTCTCCCATGGCACATTTTTTTATGAGTACAACCCATACTGAGAGGTATAAAATGGAACTTCCCAACAATTTTCCAAAAACTATTTATTGACTTAAATTGTGGGATTTTATTTTATAGTCAGTTTTTCTCCAAAAAAAAAAAAAATTAAATAAAACACATATAATTGTGTGTTTAAAGGCAAAGATACAAATATAAGATCTCATGAAAAAACATAATCAAAGAATCACTGAAAGTGCTGTTATTTACTTCATTTCTTAAAACTTACTCCATTTGAAAAAACATACTTGGGAAAGGCAAAATGATAATTTCATTTCCCTTACAAGTATATCTACTCTGAAAACATTATATAGGAGAGTATAATGGGTGTGGCCCCTCTGATGAAGTTCTTCAACTTCTAATATTACTGATCCTATTAAGCATAGATTGTTAGAAAGTTTTTTTGTTGCCCCCAGTAACTATTTTGGTTGACTTTTACTTCCCCTTGCTTTTTGACACTGTGCAGGAAGTATGTTGAGGAAAACACAAAGTGACTTCTCCAAATCAGGGCAGGTTAGTCTTATTTTCTTATCATCATTGTCACTATCATCATGACATATTGAAAGCTTTTTATTATTTGGGCTCCATGTCTCATAAAGTGGCTGGAGCCTTCTCTATCAGACTGATACAATCTCTGTCATAGCATGGTAGGCAGGAGGAATTCTGAACTGGGTATCCAGAAAAGAGCTGGTTCCTGACTGTGTAGGCTTGCCTGGGTTATCTAATGCACAGGCTGATGCCCAAGCAACCATGTAAATAAAAAAAAAAAAAAAAAAAAAGCGGGAAAGCCAAGAGAACAATGAGAACAGAGCTTGGGCACATAGTAAGCACTCAGCGAATAGTTGGTGAATAAATGAATAAGATGATTCTACCTATATAACACAAGAGATCTGAACAAAATGATATAACCTCCCTCTGCAAGATTCTATTAAAAATGCAAACTGTTCTTGTGGCTCTGGCCTGTAGGAAAAAATAGATTGAGCAATAGCATAGAAGCAGAAATCAGAGTAAGTCAGACAGCCTTCACCTTTCTCTTTCCATAGGTATAAATTGAGATTCCACAGCCAAGGATCTACTCTGCAGTAAACTAACTTAAAAAGTGACCAAACTAAATTTGGGATACCAAAACACTTGTTAAAAAGTTGCCAGGGGTGCCTGGGTGGCTCAGTCGGTTAAGCGCCCAACTTTGGATCAGGTTATGGTCTCACAGCTTTTGAGTTTAAGCCCCACGTCGTGTTCTGTGCTGACAGCTCAGAGCCTGGAGCCTGCTTCGGATTCTGTGCCTCCATCTCCATGTGTGTCTCTCTCTCTCCCTCTCCCCTGCTCCCTCTCTCTCCCTCCCTCCCTCTCTCTCTCTCTCTCTCTCTCTCTCTCTCTCAAAAATAAATAGACATTAAAAATTTTTTTTTAAAACGTTGCCTGGGGGAGGTCAGATTTTAATTTTAGGAAATCAATTGAAGTCCTGTGAATTCTCACCATATCAGATGATCACAGTAATATTCATTTAAGTACAGTAAATGACAAAGCTTAAGAGAAATCATCTGGAGATTATCTGCACCCCTTTTTTGTCCTTGCTACTGCACCCCTGTCTAATATGGATCACTTAGACACTAAGAAAGATAAACAGCAGCTCTTCATGGAATCACCAAGTTGAAAAAGCCCTTAAAGGTCAGGGTTTAATTACCTGAATACAGCCAGAAACTGTACCTGTGAAACAGAACTATATAGAAGTAAGATCTCATCCTTCTTTTGCCACAACATTTTTCAAAGAAGCCAATACACCACTCATTCTCCTAATCACAATATATTGTTTTTTGTAAATTTATAAAAAAGCACAGATAGTATGAAGACATATCATTATTAGAACAGCATTTTGATACTAGGAACATGACTATATTATGTGGATATTTTAAATTTAGGAAGATGAGATTATGAATTTTAATTTATACTGCTATCTTTTCAATCTGAATTTGAATGGAAGATTCTTAAGATTAGCTTAGGCTTCCACTTAATACAGAAATCCTCTCTACAGCACATTTTATGTAAAAGATTATATAATAAAAGATTAATGCAGCAACTTTAATATTTATACATTTTAAAATTCCATAGGAGGTGCTAAATGTGAATTGCTATTATTTCTGTATTCCTGGAATACAGATTTTGAATAAGCGGTTATGGTATTTAAATGTGATCTTTTTATTTTAAATCATTGCCAATTACATACGGAGATTTCTTGCACTGTTAATATGATTCATAATACAAAGCGTGTACTTAAAAACTTATTTCAAAATCAAGCTGTAATTCTTTTAGGTAAAATATAGTAAATATTTCTGGCTAGTACATATGATAATATGCATAAAAACAGCATTTAAGTCATGTAGTCTGAGAACTGATTTGTCAAATACTGCCATAGAGCACCTATGAAATAAAAAAACAAAACAAACTAACAAACAAACAAAAAAACCCTCAGTGTGAGCTTCCAAATAAAGTGTAGTGTTAAAATAACCACAAAATATAGAGTGACCATATTTGGCAAGAAAAGAGGCTGGTGTAAACTTCATAAAAACCACATCATAGCCAGATTTGGCATCACCAAGGTATGACATGAGAGGGGACTCTTGTTCTAAACAACAGTGCCACTCAGCGGCTGAACAATGGTAGTGAACTGATCAACAGTATGAATGGAGGGTGGGCAAAAAGAAAAATGGAATTTTGGAGAAGGCAATGATAATACTGCAGGCAAAAAGATATACTACGTTGCCATGGTAACTGTACCTTGGAGGTCAGTTAGAGTCTGGACAGGAACAGAAACCTGAGCATCGCTTCCTGTAACTACATCGCCTGGATTTCATAAGAAAAAATAATTAGATTTCATAAAAAGGAAAAAAAAATCAAGTTTACTTTTTTTCATACTTAATGTAATACTTTTATCAACCTAATTACTAAAGGTACAGTAAAACAAAATACAATCTTAGAAAAATTAATATAAAATAGTTTTTAAAGGAATTAATTTTTTAAAAGTATTTCCTAAAAGGTTTCTGTGAATATTTTTCTTCAAGAAAAAAACAAGTTTCTATTATTCTAAAACATAAGAAACTTGAGAAATCAAATGATTTTTCTGAGGTTTAATTATGCTACAAATAGTAATGTGGTTTCATATTTTCTTTCTTAAAAAAAATTCTTTATCCAAAAGTAAATACGCATTTATTACAAAGCAGGCATTTTTTTGAAACGCATTTCCTCTTATAACAGAGAGAAATTATTTTTAACTAAACTTGACACCAGTTTCTACAGTGATAAGATAAATACCTAAACAAGTTCTAATTTCATAGTTAAGTACTGAAAAGATTTCATAAGCTACCACATGTACTTATAAATGTCAACATGTAAAAATAAATCTGTGAACTGCACATCCTTTAAACTTGATATACTTATGATAGGCGAGATTTCATTCACAAATTGGACCTATGGTAAATGCTTAAAATAAAGAAGCGTTCAACTTCAAAAAATAGACAAAGGAAATGGGGAAAGAGGGAGTGCATTCTAAAAGTACAGGAGAGAAAGGAAAAGGAGAACAGGAAATTCTGTGAAGAACTTGAGGTACACTCCCAGTTAGAAGGAAGGCTTTTCGGTTCTCTGATTTCTTCCTTCCTGGCCAAGTTCAACATTAGGCACAGTCACTGTCAACAGAATTAATCCTCTGGCTGTATCAGCATCTGAAGGTCTAAGTTACTGTGAAATTCATAAACTAAAATCCAAGTCTTCTACAAAGACACTGTAGTTTCCAGGTTTGATAATGCAGGATTAATAGACTTGCTTGCCCTGTACCTTTCATATAATAGCAAATCAATTTTGGAATTATACAACATACCCTCAAGTGTTTTGACCACTTGCTACAATTATAATTGACAGCACAGCCAGCTTATCTGCAAATTACTGGGTTGTAATCCTATCATCCCATCCATTAACAGTACATGCATTTATATATGTGTATCTATATCTCCTGTAACTGAAATAAAATCTATAAATGGGTACACACTCCAAACCAGCTTTCAACGGAACTTATCAGGTCCTGAATTTTCATAATACAGTTACCTCTCTGTTCACTGATAAATGGCATGCCTATCTTCTGTTTATTTGAAGGGGATTTTCAATTCTGTGCCTGTTACCCACTTTTCTCTGCTGCTTCTGGATTACCTATTAGTGTATAATTTAGACACTGAAAACTCATTTTAGTATTAAATATCACCAGAAAGTAGCGGAGGAGTATCTGCGCGCCCTCTTCTTTCTTTCACGACCCGACTCCCAACACATACACAAACTACACTTTGCGTTCCCAGCAACACATACATGAATTTTGGGTTTTCCATACAACTCTCATCCTACGGAAGCATAAACATTCGAGAGTTAAGTAACCTACGAAAACCACAAGCATTTTCATCTTTACTAACAGCCATTATTCAAAGCAACTTTCAAATTTTCCGGCAGAGGACACTACAAAGGCTATTACATTCTCTCTCCTCAAAGGCCCTAAGTAGATGACTCTATTCTGCGATAGTAAGAAGCCGTATTCCAACGCAAGCCTCCCGACAGGCTACGTACTGTGCTCACCAATCTCTGGCACCAGGTGACACAGCTGCAGATCTGTCACTGTCACAGCACAGCGTATGGATACTTGTGGGAAACACCAGCATAAAGAACGAATGCTGGAGACGTATTTTTTCCTTGTAGCGTTACCCAGTGTATCTTTACAGATGTTTGGAGCTGGGAGGCTCCCCAGGGAGCAGTCCACACCTCTTATTTCAGGGCGAGGAGACATGGTCAGAAGGCTTCAGGACTGTGCTTACGGTTCATTTCATGGGCAAGTCAGTGAGAGGGAGCAGCAACCTAGCTGGTTTCTACTTGTATCAACTGTTCGCCTTTTACTCCGTTTCATTCAAATCCTTATGCAGGGAGGGACATTTGCAGGAATGTTTATCTTTAAGAGGAAGGTAGACAAGCTTTTCGTGATTGACACGAGGAGAATGAACCAGAAAGAAAAAGAAGAGCTGCCTACACAAGGAGATGTTCTTTCAGCACGGGGATCAGTTACAAAATGCCCTAGTGATACTCATGTTCCAAGTACTTTGCTTAAGTGCTCTGTTGTCTCCTTCTAACTGGGGACTTCGTTTTCATCAGTCGTTCCATCCTCGTGCGCCTCCTTCTCACTTACTGTGATATTAATACTTGACATTTCCTTAGAGATACAACTTTATATTTCTATAGTCATTTGGCTTGGTTCCTCTGAAGATTTAAGCTACAGCATTAAGAGATTCTCTGACTCATTTGCCTGCCATCAGTTAGAATTACTACTGACTATGGCTTGTTATCAAAGCAATACTGAAATCATATTTGGTTAGAACAATAAAACAGTACAATTAAGAAATATTGAAAATAACATTCATTTCCATTCTGAAAGTGGGCATGTCTCCTGGCATTAAAATACATTTACAATGTGTTAATGATTTGAAGTCTCCTTTTCTTTCAATCATGTGTGACAACGCTACATTGAAAAGAAAAGAATGTAGTTTTACACGAGACATTCCTGTGTAAGGCAAACTCAATATTCTAACAGAAACTTATATACTAACTATACAAAGTCTAATACTTCATATAGGCAATGGTGATAATACCCTGTAACTGACAGAAGAATAAACATGCACACACTCGTTAGTGAATTCAATACTCATTATTTTTGTGCCATTGGGGAATAAAGTCCACTTAAGTCTGCCAGCTTAAATGCCAAGAATTTAAAATTTTTAACCATTTTAGATGCAATCTTCTTAAACAGAGTGTATGGGAACATGGTTTAAGGTCTTCTAACTGATTCAATATTACTGTGGTTGCTGTCAACACCGGTCATTGAACACGGCTAGAACAAGGGTCCCTTTAAGATGTGAATGAGGCATGGGTCAGGCTATTTGTGCCCTGACAAATGAATGGCCACAGGCTCTGTGCTTTGTGAGGTCTTAGGATTGAACTCTGTAGATTTTCTGCCATCATGTTCCTATTTCTTGCTTCTATAGTATAGATAGCAGAGTCCCACCACTAAAAATAAATGCAGCTGTTTCTAATCTGCTGTGAACAGGGGCACTTAATATATAGGTCTCTGAAGAGTGGGAAATAAGAGCATAAAGGTTCTGAGTAGGAACCTGAAGGGCTCTCCTACGAGTTAAATACATGCGGGAGACGGAGCACCAGAAAAGCCCGGAAACAGACCACACGCTTACTTGAGGCTGGGTGGCAAGGGCACCCCTCACTCGTCGCAGCACCAGCAGCGGCCCCGCTCGTCAAATGAGAGCTTTGGATGAGGTGGTCTCCCAGGTCTCCTCTGCTCTAGCATTCTAAGGCTCTAAATTGTAGGGCCTGGACTCACAGACTGACTTTGGCTGCTAGAGATTCTGTTTAGCCTTCCCCGTAAGGGTACAGTTCATATTGCTCATGGGTAAAGCAGCCGGATGAGCGACCGCAAGCCTAGGGGCAGCACGCTTTCTTCAAACCGGCTGCGCGGATGGATGCTACAACCAGTGAAGCCCATGCTCTTGGAACGTCCCATTTCAGACTATACATCATTACACGTTAGCAGAGATCGCATCAACTGCTTTCAAGTTCTGTGTTGTGATAGCCTGTGCCATACTCTACGGGCATCCAGAGGACTCGAATGCACATATCCTAGGATATAGATGCTAAAGAAGTACCTAACAAATTACTTCATAAAATGGTCTTATTAAAAACGACACAGGATCTGATATTCCAACTGAAAAAAAAAAAACGAATCTAACAGATTTTTAAAAATTAGGTTTTGCATTAATTTCTATCTCTAGGAGGTTGGTTCCTCACAGGCAGGTGAGGAAATCCCAGGCTACACTGTGAGCGTTTTCGTTCGCTTTATTACGATTATTTCCTTACCTTTGTTCAATTGCACTGGCATGCTTTCCGATTTCATCAGTCTCTGCTGCTGCTGCTGCTGCTGCTGCTGCTGCTGCTGCTGCTGCAGGGGATGCCTGGGGACCTCTGCCAGGGTCCTGGTGGGAGGCACAGCAGTGGAGGAGCCCCCACTACTGCCCGCTGGTACAGGGCCACCCACACTGCCTGGGGCCATTGCTGGGGAAATCAACTTTCTTCCAAAATTTATCAGGCTATTAGAGACCTTATTTATATTCAGGGGAGCACCTTTGACGTTGGCCCTGTAGAAAAAAAATTAGGTGGAGAAACATTACTTAAATTAGAGGACAACTCTATGTCACATATTCCAAATGGTATAAAAACACACCTTACCTGCTTGAAAAAGGCCATTTACTGGAACAGCTACACAAAGCGAAAGTGAAAACGTAAAAGTGATCACAAAATAATACAACGATAAGGTTCTTCGAGAGGTGGCTTATGGAAAATAGTCTTTTTACTGTTCATTCATTCATTCATTCATTCATTCAACAAATGGGGCCTATTTTGTGCTAACACTGTGCTCGGTTCTCGGGATGCAGTTGTCCACAGCAGACGTAGTTCCCCTCCTGGAGTTTTCAGTGTAGTAGGGAAGAAATATATTAAATAATCGCGTAAAAAAAGCATGGTTAAAGCCTGTGATAAGGACTCTAAAGGAGACGTCCAGGGCTCAGCAAGCCTTGGATAGAAGGCGGCACCTGTGAAATGAAGCCGACAGCAGATTTCCCACAAGCCCTGGCATGTGGGTATTAGGCCACATTTAATCTGATTTTGAAAAATAAACGTGTCTGAGAGTCACAAAGTAAATTCAATAAAAGCTGTACAGAATCGCCCAGTTCCTGAGAATTGCAAGTTGCCCTCACCACCCCGACCATCCCGGCTCTCCACATCCTCCTTCCCCACTGCCCTGCTTCACTTTTCCTGATGGCACTACATATCCTATTTGATGGGTTATTATTTGTCCATCTCCTCCAATCCCCATTCGAACGCAAGCTTCACGAAGATAAGGGGTTCTGGTCTGTCTGCTCTGCTGCTGTTGCCTAGCGTATAACAGGTGCTTTATAAATATTTGTTAAAAGGGAGCTGCACGTCCAGGTAGTCGAAGTCTTTCCACCTCTACAGTGAAGAGTCCCGGCTCCTAGCGATGGCCAGCCTCTCTCACTGTGCTCTGGATTCCATCCTCTGACCTGAGATCATTGCCCTTGCACCTTCCTCTCCTGAATCATTTTCTCCTTCTCTGTAGTGGCATTCCCATTAGCATACAACCATTGTGTGTGTGTGTGTGTGTGTGTGTGCGCGCGCGCGCGTGCGTGTGCATGCTCACACAAGCGCCCTTGCTAACTTATCCTGTGAACCCTCATCTCTTCCTAGTTACCATCCCACTTCTCCTTCCTCATGACCTATTTTTTCAAAAAGCTGTCTTATGTGCTACTTCTGCTTCTTCGGTCCTAGGCCCACTCAGGTCTGGTTGTGGCCTCCTTGCCAATGTGCAAAAACTACTCCTCCAGTCATGGATGACCTCCACAGTGCAGAGCTGAAGGCTCACTCTTATTTTATTCTACCCTTGTCAATGCTTAACCCCCTTACCCGCCGCTCCTCTCATACACTTCCTCGCTCGGCTGCCATGGTTTGCCAGCACCTGTGTGACAGCCATCTGGCAAACAGAAGACACCAAGTAAACATTTGTCAACTGAATGACTACCTCCCAGATGATTCGTAACCTTGAAGTATCTCAGGGTTATTATCTTGAAGACCAGTTACGATTATAAATTATTTTAGTTGCAGGAGGTAGTCCCACTCCACAGCAATACCAAAGTTTGTATTGTTATTGCCCAAATCATTAATAGAAGCTTATTTTCTCACATTTTGCTTCTTTTTTTCCATAAAAGTAGGAGATCGAAAATCAAGTTTGAGGGATACATTTACTTGATTCAACTTGAATTTTACTATCATTTCCTCCTCTCAGATCTACCTGACAGCTCTTACATAGTAATTTTCCTACCTTTTATAGAACAGCTGTATCCTTGGTGTTGCTAGATACAGCTCTAGGATAGAACTGATCCATAGTCCTATAATAAAAGAGAACACTATGCTTCTTCCTTTCATCAAGTTTTTCTTTAATGGTACTCGCTAATATTATGGGCTACATATCGGAGGCTTAACATTACTTTGGAGCTAGGACAAATCAAATTTAAAACCTGGAATTCGGCTTTATAAGAGAAAGAGTTGCTCATTTACAACGCCACGAAATGTGAAAAAAATTTTCAAATGATTCTTTTTGTATCAAGTTTTATCTTTAAAGAACTGAGCTATTTCATGCCCTTCCAAAAATTGTTGAAAATAACGTTTCCTAATGGAGATAAGGATATATCGTGATTATACACCACTTACTTCCAGTTTCCCGCTGCTTCCTAATGAAGTACGGCATTCTCAACTTACAGACACTACAGCTTAGCAACAGAGAAGGCACTCAATACATGTTTATTGAAAACTAAATGAAGGAAATGAAAAGAACTCGTAAGTTGTGGATTAGGAAGGCATTCACCTCTGGCACTGTATTTCACTCAGCAGCCTGCATGCAATCCCATGTCTTGTTGCATTTTAGTTTTGCTTGTTTGAAGGCAAGATTCATGATTCACAGATATGAAGAAGTTAAAATGTCGTTACCCTTTTTTATGAACAAAAAATGTACTAGTCAAATTCCCATACTGCCAGCTGTAAAATTTATATGTTGATAAAAGTACTAAGAAACTGCTAGAGCATTATCAAGAGAATATGGTTAATGCATCTTCATTACTACTAATAAGCACAAAAAACATAGATCAAGCTCATGCCGAGCAATTTTTCATCTGAATACCTCTTAAAAGGGGATGAACACCGTTTTCCTTTTTTGGGTATTTTTTGTTTTTAACCAACTTCCCCCCTCATTCACTACCCACTGCTTCCAGAAGAATATTTTCTTCTCAAAACAACTATTGAAGGTGACTCTTCAATTATTACAGATACAAACAACTGTAAAACATATACTTCTAGGACAAACATGCTGTCCATAGTGTGTTTGTTTTTCAGGATGATAATTTTTTGGCCAAAGGTAGCTAAACACAGATCTTAAGTATCTGTAGCAGCATTCTTTACTGGCTGTGATGTACGTTATTAAGTCATGTGTGCTGAGTCAATGAAAATTAATGCGTTTGTCAGAGATCTGATGGACACTGAGTACTGGGTTGGATTAACAATGGAGTGTAACGTGTAAACACTGCTGAAATAAATAGTAAGAGGACTCTGGAGTTAACAGGACATTATATAAATCTAATGAGTAACTAATTTTGTGTAATCAAAGTCTTTCATTATTATTATTTACTACATACTCTTATTAAGTAATAAAAATAGTACAATATAGGAGGGATTGTCTTCAAATTGTTGCCAAGACCCTACTTTTTGCACAGCCTCATTTAGCAGGTTAAATCAGTAGCGATGGGACACTTACCTGAAGATTCAAGAGTCATCAAAACAACTGCATCAGAACCCAACCTGGCTTCACTGTTGGGCCCCTTTGGTTCACTTTCTAAAACTGGGTGACTCTTGCTGCCTCTTGCCACCCACCTGATCTCTTACCGCCTGACTTTCTAACCCACACTCTCCTGAAAGAGCTTCTAGTGTTTCCAATGTCTTCTTAACTGCCAGAGGCATAAGCTGTTTTCATTCAACTTCTAAAACTTTTCTAAAGCTTAAAAAAACCAACCAACCAAACAAACCAAAAACCCAGAACATTATCACGTGATCACGTTTGTAAAAACTCTCCACAGCCACGGAGATTTTCCTCTCCTGTTATCCAAGCTTTGACACCACCTCAGGCTTTCTTCCTTTCTATCTATGGATTTGTTTTTCAGGTCTGATATTAAGTATCTAATATTTGTTTACTTAACTCCTTTTTCAGTAAAATTTTGTTACATGCTTGTTTATATTTTTGTCAAAGGAAGAGTTTTCCATTTATTTGTAATTATCTTTCTCAATATGCTAGTTTATATTTTTCTTATTATTTCCTTTCTGTGTTCCCAAAGGTTGAATGCTTGGTTCGTTCATCCATTCATCCATTCATTCACTTGTTCAGTTCCCTGCCTTTCCCAATAAAAGCTTTTAAAGATATACATTTGCATCTGATTAAAGCAACAGCATCACAGTTTTTCCCACACGTTTTCTAAATAGTCCATTGGCTCAATTGTTATTTAGGTACATTTTAAAGTTTCAGACGGCTGGGTTTGTTTGTGTTTAAATATAATACCCAATTTGTTGTACTGAATAGAAAAAGAGGTATCAGAAGACTGAAAGTGGGGGAACTGTTCTAATTTTTCAGAAGGATTGTAGAGACCACGAACCAGAAAATGGACTGGCTTATTAAAATTTTTTTTCCTAATTACTTGAAAATGGTTGTAGTCTATCACAAGTAGCCAGTATGGGTCACTAAAAACAAGTCATTCTAAGGCAACTTTATTTCTTATGTGAGGTGTTAAAGTCTGTAAGATTTACCAAGGTATGTCAGTGCCGTGGATAGAATGAAAGATAATGCATCCTCAGTTATAGTTGGAGAACTGTACCTCAAGTTTATTGTTGAATGTTCTAGCACCCACCAAAGACTTCTGGTGATGACATGTGTCTCAGACTTGGTTCACAGACCTGCTCACCAGTCCTTTTTATAAGCTCATAATCTTCCTTCCATCAATGAGCTGCATAACTGGGGAGAGTTATGTAGCCTGCTCTCTGGACTGAAGTTTCCTTATCTTTAAGACAAGGGGGCTGGATTATTGATATTTTGGGTTCCTTTTAGATAGAAAATTCTATAATTTTGTGACTGGAAAGAGAACAAGCGCTTACTGAATTTGAGACTAAAGGCCTGCAGAGACACCTAATCTATTAGACAAAGGAATCAAAATATAAAATACTCTCAACAGGCTAGCATGAGAAATGAATTAAACAGATAAAATTTAACAAAGATAAATAGAATCTTAAGCACTTAGGTTAAACCTTTTTATAACTGCACATTACACACAGAATAGAGAGGTATGGGCTAACATGAGTTCACATTAAAACAACAACAACAACAACAACAACAACAACAACAACACCAACACCCAAACATTAGTGTTTTAGTTTGGTCTGCTAGGCTAATCTGAGCCCACAGGGACACTGCTGAAGAAAAGTAAGATTGTTAGCCTGTGTTAATACTAAATGAGTGAACTTTTGGTTT